TCCAAAGTGTTGTACTGAAGGACATTCCCACCAGCAGTGGAGGAGAATTTCCATTGTTCCCCATCCTCACCAGCCATTTGTCATTGGGGTGTTACAAGATATATGGGTCTTAAGTTTTCTGTTTTGTACTGTCTTGGTCTAGTTTTGATATTTTGGTAATGCTGGCCTTATAAAATAAATTGGGACGTAGCCCTAGCTTGTCTCTTTTCCTAAAGATGATTTGTGAAAATTGACATTAATTCATCTCTGGAGGAATTTTCCAGTGAAACTATGCAGGCTTGGAAATTTTTAAAACTTACAAATTCTATCTCCTTAATTGTTTTATAGCTACTCAGACTATCTGTTTGATACTGGCTAAGTTGTAGTAGTATGTGCTCTTCAAGTAATCATTCTGTCCATGTTTATGCGTGTAGATTTATCCCCAATATCCCTGTATTGTCCTTTTGATGCCTGCAGAAGCTGGAGTGATAGCCTGTATTGCATTTCTGGTGCTCATCATTTGCCTGCCTACTCTTTCCTTCCTTCTTTTTTATCAGTCTTATTAGAAGTTTATCAGCTCAGTTTTTTGGACTAGCTTTTAGGTTCACTGATATTCTTTATACAGTAGTGCCTTGGTTCGCGAACTTAATTCTTTCATGATTCTGGTCACAGAATTCATTCCACAAATTAAGTTTGTGAACCTTAGTACCACTGTATAACTTTTCAACTTCACTGACTTTTTATCTTTTTTTTTTTTTTTTTCTTTCTTTGGGTACATACTTTGCTCTTTTTCTCATTTGTCAAAAAAGTTTAGATTACTGATTGGAAACGTGTCCTCTTTTACAGTGTAAGCATTTAATGCTATACATTTCATTCTCAATGTTACTATCACTTTATCTCACAAATTTGGACCTGTTGTGTTTTTACTGCCAGTCAGTTTAATGAGACTTCTTTGATTCATGGATTATGTATAAGTGTACTGTTTGCTTTGCAAGTGTTCAGAAAACTTCTTTAATCTTACTTTTATTAGTTTCTAGTTTCCTGCCATGATGATTAAATAACATATTTTGTATGATTTCACTTGATAGAAATTTGTTGAGGATTTTTTGAGGTTGCACTGGTGTATGTTTTATAAGCACTTGAAAGAATGTGAATTCTGCTGGGTTTTGGGAGGAGTGTTGTATAAATATTAATTATGTCATGTTTGATGTTTTGAGTCTTCTTATATTTTCTGACTTTCTATTTACTCTGTCAATTGCTGAGAGAATAATAATTGTGGATTTATTTCTTCTTTCCATTCTACCAGTTTTTTCACTTCATGTATTTTTCAGCTCTGTTATTTAGTACATATGCACTCAGGATTGCTATGTCTTGGTAGTGTGACTCTTTTATCATTTTGTAATGTCTGAGTCTAGCTCTGGTCATTTTCTTTCCTCTGAACTTTACTTTTTGGGATATCAGTAGAGATACTCTTGCTTTCTTTTGAATAATGCTTGCATATTATAACTTTTTTTGTTCTTTTACTTTCAAAGTACCCATGTTGTTATATTTGAAGTAAG